TAAAGAATATACAGTATTGTGTGTGTGGGAATTAAGCTTCACTAGTTACATTCATTTATTTATTTATCCATTTCATTTTTCGAGCTACATGTATACTATTCTCTCTCTCTCTCTCTCTCTTTTAAGATCAAAGCCTCTTTTATATGCAATCCAACATGGTATCAGATTGAATTTTTGCTCAATTTCTCTGTTTTCCTCTTTGTTTTCTTCAATATCTTTAATCAGTTCCGTTTCATGAGCTTTTAGATTTAAAATCTTTTGGATTCAGCTGATTCGTCGCGTGATTTGGCGCCTTGAAATTTGTTTTTTCCGACAAATCTATCTGAATTTGAAGTTATGAGTTAAGACTAGAAAACGTCATTCTCGCATTGGCTTTGACCGTGCGGCTATATCTTGAGCCTCACGGGATCGTTGGTTAGTGTCACGATCGCTGTCATATTACCGTCTGCTTTCTACTTGAAGATTTGCTGGGACGAGATGTCGAAGTTCAAGAGAGTCGCGAATCTCGGGTGCCTTCTTGGAGTTTTGGGATCGTTTGATTCCTCTAAGTCGCTTGTCAAAGAGCTTGTTCGCGTTCATGGAGGTTGAGAGCGCGGGGTTTATTTTATAAAAAAGGATCGAGAAACATTGTTGTTAAAAACGATATGAGTAACCAATATATTTATATATAAAAAATCTGCATATACAATAACTTTCCGGTGAATTCAACATTTACTTCCGGTGAATTTGGTGTTTGTGAAAGAGAATTAATTTCGGATTTACCGCCAAGCACTTCCAATTTCCTGAATCTGACACCAACTATTCTTTTTCTGTGATCTAAAGCGACTTTAGATTTCATCTAACCACTTAACTCTAGGACTTGTCCTTATTTTCACCAACTTACAGTTTTGTACAGCCAACCCTCCACTAGGACCACCACCAGTGTCAGCCGGAGATCTGGAAACCCGACCCGAGGAAAACCGGGAAGGATCCGGTGATCTTGATATTCCTGTAGCCATGCATGTACGTAGATGGTGCCGAGGACGAATAAAGTAATGTTCCATTTTCAGGTTTCGATCGTGAGTTCAAAAAAAAATTGCATAATTGATAAAATGTAAACTTTCATAAAAGAAAAAGGTTAGAAATTCTATTATAAAAATGTAAACTTTGGTAAAAGAAAAAGGTTAGAAATTTAAAAAAACAGAGAAAAAAGAAATCGATAATGACAATTAGTAAAATGTAAAGTATACCTAATGAATGACAGTTTTCCTATATACAGAAAAAAAAATTGTATACTTTGACAAAAATGTTTAAAATATTTGTAGTAAGATGACAAAAAAAAACTTCTGAAAAGGAAAAATACTAATAGAAAAAGGGAAATTTGATTTGATTGAAAGCTATATAAACATAAGAACTTAATTTCTCAACCAAAATATTCTTAGTAGCTATCATCATCTTTCATAGTTTAAAAAAAATATTCATATTAGCTAGAATATGGCTCAAGAAGCGGATTTAGATTTGAGTTTATCTCAATATGATCCATGGGTTATAAAAAAGAAGTTAACCGCTTCTGATACTTCGATGAATGGTAAACTTCTCCTACCGCGAAAAGAATTATTAGATTCTATAATTCCGCATGATGAGACAGGCTATGGCCCAGCAGATAGGAACAGAAAACGGTGTTGAAGTGAAGGTCCATGTTATAGAGGAAGGTAATGAAGCTGATGACTACACATGGATCTTAGTTAAAGACATTGACAACACCTATTTTTTGAAGAGAGGATGGGGCCCTTTTGCTAGAGCCAACAACTACCAAGAAGGCGATGTAATTGGACTTATGTGGGATCAAAGCTATGAACGATTTTTGCTTCACAAGATAGTTCAATATTAGTCGTTTCTGAGATATCAAAGAGTTTTTCTACTATTTACTTAAGTGTTTTAGTTTATTATTGTTTTTTTTTTGGTTTTTTTTACTTAAATGTGGGTTTTATGAATAATATTTAATTTTTTTTTTAATTTCAAGTTTTGGTCTTTTATTCATCAGAAACTCTTATATCTCATGTAAGAGATAATAATGTTAATGCTAATTATGCCATTTATGTTTAATTCATGTCGGCAACTTTTCTTCTTCTGTGATCTAAAGCGACTTTAGATTTCATCTCATATACAACTTCTATAATATTACGTATACACTGTTATGATAATTTGTATATAAACAGAACACTATATACTATACAGGGTACAGAAGATGTACACAAAGGCTCTTACGCTTCCTACTTACAGACTGCGAATCCGAAGCTTTTACTTTCACCTCTCCTCGTTTAGCAAATCACAGAGAGCATGAGCACAAAAAGTTCTGTCTTATTGTTTTGACTTCTTTTCCTTAATTAGATTTCTGTATCTTGGTTTCTGGAGAAGGTCTTGGATAAAGAACGAGTGCTAGCGCAAAAGCGACCCCAAGACCGACCACTCCGCTAAAAGGCTGTAACGGACGTTTCCCTGCAGTCCAAACCGGTGAACTCGGGTTGTACGTGAGGAATCCACCAGTGTGTAGTACAAAGCTTGCTGCTATCATTCCTGTTCGCAACCCAATTGGCACTATCAGATTCCCTTGGCTTCTCTCACGAGCCCCTGCCAGCGCCAACGACAGAAGCCATAACCCTGGAATTGATCTCAGGGATCTGCAAGAAAAGAAACACACACTTATTATGCTACTAATCTCAAATGAGATGAGAGAGACTTATATGTTACATGCTATTGTATAAATACCTCTGGAACAAGGCAAATACGAGCCCTGTAATGATAATGCTTTGATGGTATCCCATATCTATAGCAATCTCGTTAGGCATCCATGCCTGAAGAGCAACTCTTCCACAAACACAATAAATGTCGCAGTTGCAAATCCCCTACTCTCTTTCCCCACAGCATAACAAGAATGAAAACAGCAACATAGAGCCCAATGGCTCATCAATCTTCCAAGTTTTCTCAAGGGACTGAAGCAACTCCATTGTCCCTTTCCAGATAAGGGAGGCGAACAAATCCCGCATGATTATTTAAATTTTTCTGGGTAACAATTTGAATTTTTGCCAATGAGCCAATTTGGATCAAGAAACACATACACATTTGCCAAAAATAATTCCAAGTAAAAGAAGACAAAGCCCAAAACAAGGTCCATTTAGTGTGGGTGGTCCGGATGACTGTTGGTTTGGGTGGATAAGCTTGGTTGGATCTAGTAATAATCAAAAGCCATTGAGGACAAGAGTGTAAATAACCGACCACTTTTTCATTTAAATAAATAAAAACTATTTTTTTTTTTTTTAAAGAGAAAAAAAATTCGATGCTGAAGATCAATAATCCGATCTAATTTCACGACAGCTTCTCCTCTCTCTTCTAAACTTTCTCTCCCTCGAGTCTCGCTGCCGATTCTCTCTCTCCGGCGAACTACACAGGCGAGCTTTCTCTCTCCTCTCTCTCTTTTCTTCTTACATCGACCCTTTGTGTTTTTAATTTGTTCCAGATGGGTTTGTTTGAATTAATCTGGTTGGGTTTTTAATCTCTTAATGTTAGCACAAAAATTCCAATTTCTTTATTCAGTTTCCGTTTCATGAGCTTTTAGACAAAGCTATCCGAATTTGAAAAAAGTTTTTGGAGTGCTCATTGTTTATCAAAAGCCCAATAGAAAAACAGAAAAGCCCAATTTCTTCATCACGGACTCTTTCTTCTTCTCCACCGTCACGAGATGCGTCCTCGCCATTGAAGATCCGTTCGTCTTTGCCTCTCCAATTTCATCTCTGTTTTTCAAAATTGAAAGAGAGATTTTGTGTGATGGGTGGTCTGAATATGGAGGAAATGCCTTTGTCGGCGTTGTTCGAGCAAGCAAGGAAAATTCATCTCGCGGCTTCAGAGTCTCGTGCCGATCAGGTGGAAGCATCTAACTTTTTCTGTATACGAAATTCGATTAGGGTTTGAACTGATTAATTTTTTTTTTTTAGTTCTACTGAATTGGACATTTCTGACGAATGCTTTGTTCTCCTTTCTTGGTTTGTTAGGATGTAGTGAAGAAAGGATGCGGGATGTTACACAAGTGTGAAGACATGGTCGGGAAGCTGGGGCTTTTCTCGTCTAACGAGACCAAAGAAGATATTAGCACGAACAATCTCAAGTATCTTTTGGTAATTCTTCTCTGCAATCGATTTTCTGTTTGTTATGTTGCTGTTCTAGTTTCATTTTGTTAGGTTAGTGTTGAAAGAGCAACGTCGTGAGTCTAGAATCTGTGATTCAGTATGGTCTCAGAGCGAATTTTCGATTCAGCTGATTCGTCGCTTGGTTTGGTGCATCGCAATAGTTTTTCCGACAAATATATTCGAGTATTTGTTCCTTTTCTAATTTCAATTTCTCAGAGAATTTGAGAATCTTTCTAAGACTAATACAAGTGAAACAAATGGTTGAAAATCGGATATCTTGGGCTAGTTCTCATTTTCTTTTTTAGCTACTGAGATTCTATATGTGAAGTATTGTAATTTGATTGTGCCCCTCTTCCGTTGGGCTTAGCAGTTACATTGTGTGTGTTTGAGAGTCTTGACATTGTGATGATGATGATCAGGTGCCTTACTATCTTGCGGAGTTGACAGAGAAAGTCATACAGGAAGACCGGATTCCGATTGTCAAGGTCTCACATGCTAAGCTCAAGGTGAGTCAAAAGCAAAGTTGCTGCATCACTTTGATGCTATCTGCAAGCTTGAGTGAGCGTTGCGTTTTGATTGAGTAATTTGTGGTTGATGTTGTCTAGGAGTTCCTTTCCTTCTGTGAGGCAATGGAGCTTGTCCCTGATGAGGAATTGGAAGCTTCTTCACGACAAGGCTCTGCTCCACCTGCTGATCGAAGAGCTCTCAAGGTAGTTACAGATCAAGAACCAGCCCTGTTCTTTTTGTTTCTTTCCATTTGTGGATTCTGAAAATGAAACTTCATCTTTGTAGATAGCGAGGTTCAAACGTCAAAAGGCTGCAGAGTCGAAACTCCTTGAAATCAAAGAGAGGAAAGAGCGACGTGGACGATCAACCAAAGCAGCTGCCTTGTCGACTCCAGTTGAAGCTGGTGAAGAAGATATTCCAGATGATGACAGTGAAGAAGAGAGAGAGGTTGGTTCGTCCCCACTTTTGATGTTGTTGCACTCACTGCTTCTATTTCTAATTCTATTCTTCTGCTGAGTCTTCGTGTTATATGGGGCTCTTTCTTTGCAGGCGTGGCTCTCCACACTGAACTTGGCTGTTTGCAAGGTTCGTCTAAAAAAACATTCTAATGGCTTTTCACGAAGATTTTGCTTTTACCTGATGGTTGAAGCTTCGTTGCAGGCTATTGATCTGCTGGAAATGCTAAAGAGAGAAGAGGAAATGCTCTCTGCCATTAAGGAAAAACAGTTAAAGGTACGTTTTTGCTTTTCTTCACATTGTAATGACTATTTTGTTACTAAGCGTAAAACTAAGAAACTGTTTGTTATGAATCTGATGATTAGCAGAACGGAGAGGATGTGTTTTCTCGTGATGCTCTTGACGACCGCACAAAGAAAGCCGAAACGTGGCACAGAGATGCTGCTGCGAGAGTACAGTACTCTAGAGCGGCACAACCAATCACTTGTGCCACGTTTGCACAAGATGTGTTGGAAGGAAGAGCTTCAGTCTCACAGGGTCACGAACACAAGAACCAGCCTCTCATATTCGGTCCAGCGAGTATTATCAATGGAGCTCACTCTACTGAGAGAGAGAGGATGATAGCTCAGGTTTTCCAACCAAGTCACAGGTAGAAACACCAAAAACTCATACTCATGACAACAAATCTTGTAAACAAGAAAAGCCGATTAGTTAAACTCGGGGTTCTGTAGGATGCCGACGATGTGCATAGAGGATGCTGGATTAACGGAGATGAATATAATGAATGATTGGCAAGAGCAGACTAAAAAGGCCATTGAAGAGGCAAGCACCTCATGGCACAATGACAAACCTCCGTGGAAAAAGGATGAAAACGATGAAGATGATGATGAAGACGAGGAAGCTGTGATGAAAGCTAGAGCTTTCGATGACTGGAAGGATGATAATCCTCGTGGTGCTGGTAACAAGAAACTCACTCCTTGTGGCTGAGATTTGAGTACCTAAGTAATACACATAGTTAACACTTTCTCTCTCTTTTGCTTCTTATTTCCAAAACACTCTTCTTTCTCACTTGTGTCTGTTATGTAAAAACATCTTTCTAGTTTCTACTGTATGCCCCATAGACAGATGATTTACTAATGGAGTAACTTTTATTTTCGTGTTTTTCTTTGGAATATTATTTTTAAATTGAAACTGGAAAGTGGGAACCATGTTTCTTTGTCCTCCATTATTGTGTGGCCCACGTTCAAACACAGCAACGATTTATGGAATCAAACAGCAAAAGAAAAACGAGAAAGAGATATACAAAACAACACACATGTTGCTTGTGAATGATTAACTTCAAAAGTACCAATGAATATCACTAACATGTAAACCAGGATTCAACCTAACCTAGCTTCCTCCTGGAAACAACACCTTTTTGTGATTTTAAAAATTGAAGAAAAAGGATCAAATATGATCCAAAAAACAAAAAAAATGAGCTGATTTCTGAAGTGAAGATGTCAAAGATCACTTTGATTCAGATTGAAACAACATGAAAATTTGGGAGATGTACAGTGATTATACTTTTACCGATCGATGCATTGAAACCCGTCACAAACCCAAAGCCAGATTCCGAAAAGAACAGCACAGATGCAGAAATCGAACATCAGCACCATCCACACATGTTTCTTCCATATCTGCTTCGCCTTTTGCCTGTGATGATGATCCGTCAACAAACGATTCCTCAGTTCCTTGCGTAACACTCCATTGCTCCCATTCCCACACAAATCAACGTTCTTCTCTGATATCTCCTTCATCGCAGCAGAATCTTCTTCCCCTTGTGCTTTCTTCTTGTTCTTCTTCAACGCCTTCCCCAAAAGCGGCATCAACGAGGCTCTCCTCCCTTTCGACGAGTCAATGCTCGGATTCCGACTCTCCCTCGCCACGCTCCTCGGCGATCCAACCAAATCCATGTCCAGTTCCAAATCCACGTCAACGACACCGATCAAATCCGCGAAAACCGGATCGAGCGTTGATTGCAGACAATGCGGAGCGGGATTCGTCAACGCCTCCGCAACCACCGATCCACCGGATTTGATCAGATCTTCGACGGCTGATCTCAACCGGCTCAATAGCCACAAAGATTCCGGTTTATCCATGGTTTCGTCTTGGATCGCGAAATACACGAACGAATCGTCGTCGATTGCGAACGTGTACGTCTTCTTCCGAACTGTGTGAGAGAACATTGAATGGTGAGGAGGCGCGTTCTCGATGCATCGCAGAGCTACGTCTTCGATTCCTGGCTCTGACTTGGAGACGAACTCGGCGAGGACGACGGTTCCTTTCGCGATGCAAGTGTAGGACAATAGACTTGGATTTGAAATCATTACTTTATTTTGATTTCAATTGGAGATTTCAGCTAGAAACCAGGCGAAAATTCATAAAAAGAAGCCCAGATTCGTCGTTAGGTTCTCATTCGGAATCTCGTATCGCAACGAAGGCAAAAATGCTGCGATCTCTCGATTTGGATCAGAGAGATCAGAGATTTGTTAGTTTCTTTTTTTCTCTCTCCAGAAATACATCAAACAGTTTCTCTTGCCCAATCTCTCCAATGGCTTCTCTCTCTCTCTCTCTCTCTGTAGGGTTTGCGGAATTTTCTAGGGAAAGGAACAGAAATGGTGGAGGAGGAGATCCATTATTGGTGAAACCGTAACGAAGAGATTCCAGAATAAAATAGTGAGTGCACCACTCCGTGAAACCACATTTCTTATTTACAAGAATACCCTTTAAAGCTTTTTTACAGCCGTGATTCTAGTAACACACGTTGACTTACTGGTCCAACTAGGCCATTCACGTGCTAGGGTAATGCCACGTAGCAAATTGCCAATAGACCCACCCACCCAACTCTGTTCTGTATTCTGACCCGAACAATTTGAACTTTTTTCAAATGTGCCACTTTGGATCAAGAATCACATACAAATTTGCAAAAAATATAACTCCAAGTAAAAGAAGACAAAGCCCAAAACGAGGCCCATTTAGTGTGGGTGGTCCGGATGATTGTTGGATATAGTAAAAATCAAAAGCGATTGAGGACAAGATTGTAAATAATCGAACCACTTTTTTATTTAATAAATAAAAAATAATAATTGTTTTTTTTTTAAAGAGAAAAAAAATTCGATGCTGAAGATGAATAATCTCAGCTCGATCCTAAAAAAAAAACCTAGATCTGATCTAATTTCACGACAGCTTCTCTCCTCTCTTTTCTCTCCCTCGAGTCTCGCTGCCGCTTCTCTCTCTCCGGCGAACTACACAGGCGAGCTTTCTCTCTCCTCTCTCTCTTTTCTTCTTACATCGACCCTTTTGTGTTTTAATTTGTTCCAGATGGGTTTGTTTGAATTTAATCTGGTTGGGTTTTGTTTTTTGACCTTTTCTAGATGGGCTTGTTCTCTGTCTATTATTATTGATTAAAAACTTATATTGAAAACTATTAAGACCTCTCTGTGTTTGTTCTACATGGGTTTTGTATTAAAACATTCTGGATGGGTTTGCTTTTTTTTTCTAGATGGGTTTGTTTAAATAAACCTGCTTGGGTTTTGCTTTCTGGATAATGATTTTGAAGTTTGCTCATCTTGCTTTTCTGGGTTTTACTTTGGCTCTGATTCGATTACAGCTTTTACAAATCGAAAGACTCTTGACCCATCCGACACTTTCAATTGCATACATTTTCCTGGGAAAAAGTTCAGAGATTTGACTGCACACATAACTCTTGTTTAAGAATATTTTGACTTCTGTTGCATTACTTCTCTCTCCAAATTAAGCTAATTTCATCAATGACACTCTAATAAATCCAACAAATGTTCTGGAGATTAATTGAAGCTAACTTCTGTTTTTTTTGCAGTCACAGGTACAGACTCACAAGGCCATTTGCATCCTTGTATTTCTCCTTCTGAGAATGGACTAATCAAAAGCAAGGTTTGATTTCATCTTTTCCTTCTGTTTCTGTTTTTAATTTTGGAGAAATTATCTAAACTATGAACATAATGTAACTTCAATCTTCCAATTCTTTTATGGCTTGATTTTGTTTAAATATTTATTTTCTGTTTTTGTTTGTTCGTCTTCCATGGGTTTTGCTCTGTTTTCTCCCTTTTGTTCACTTTTAGTTTTGTTGAAGTAAACATGTTAGTTGTTACATATGAAACGATTTCATCTATGGAGTTTTGAAGTGAGTTGTTTGAATGTGATTTGCTCTCTGATGCTTGCCTCTTACTCTTGTGTTTGTTCTCTCGTTTTGGTATTATGAACATTGTTCTTTAGGAGTTTCATCTTTGGTTAGGTCAATAGATTGTGTTGAAATCAAATGGGCTCTCTCGTTTTTTTCTTTCAGATTATAAAGAAAGAAGTCTATCTTCCACATCAGAAGACTAATCAGAGTACAGTTTCTATTTATCCACTCTCGCCAGATTTTTTTTTGCCGTAAAATGTGTTCTCTTGTCCATTTAACTTGTAATCTTTGTTCCTACTAATCATCTGTAGCCAGAAAGAGAAGATGGAAGCAGCATTGGAGGTATACACTGACGACATTGAGATGAGATCACCAGAGAGACCGCCGATCAAGCGGCGCAAGAAGAAGTCGATGGTGTGGGAACACTTCACAATTGCCACCGTAGAGCCTGATCTCAGAAGAGCTTTCTGCAAAGGCTGTAACCAGAGCTTCGCTTACAGCAACGGCACCAAAGTCGCCGGCACTAGCCACCTCAAGCGTCACATAGCTAAAGGTACTTGTCCTGCTCTCGTCCATGCTCATGCTCAAGAGAACGAAAACAACACGACGACTCCGACTCCGTACACTCCCAAGGGTGATTACACACCGAGAAGACGCTACCGAACGCAGAGCAATAGTGCTTACGTTTCGATTGATCAGGAGAAGTGTCGTCATCAGATCGCGAAGATGATCATCCTCCATGACTATCCTCTTCACATGGTCGAGCATCCTGGTTTCGCCTCTTTCGTGGAGAGTCTCCAGCCTCGATTCGACTCTGTGAGCTTCAACAATGTTCAAGGAGACTGTGTGGCGACTTACCTCGCGGAGAAGCAGAACGTTATCAAGTCGTTACAATTGATTCCGGGACGGATCTGTCTCACGCTCGACTTCTGGACGTCGAAGCTGACTCTCGGGTATGTGTTTGTGACTGGTCATTTCATTGATAGCGATTGGAAGATACAGAGGAAGCTTCTCAATGTTTTGATGGAATCGTACCCTGAATCTGATGAAGCTTTGAGCAATGCTGTTGCGAATTGTGTATCTGAATGGGGTCTTGAAGGGAAGCTGTTCTCTGTTGCCTTCAACCATTCGGCGAGTAAAGCCGCGGTTGAGAAAATCAGACCTCAAATCTGCATCAAGAACCCTGGGATTCTTGATGGTCAGTTGGTGATTGGGAACTGCGTTGCTCGAACGTTCAGTGGCCTCGCTAAGGAAGTTCTTGAGAAAGGTAAAGATGTGATCAACAAGATCAGGGACAGTGTGAAGCATGTGAAGACTTCAGAGAATCATGAGGATAGGTTTGTTGAGCTCAAGGAGCAGCTTCAAGTTCCGAGCGATAAGGTGCTTTCTCTTGATGATCAGACGCAATGGAACACAACGTATAAGATGCTCGTGGCTGCTTCGGAATTGAAGGAAGTGTTTTATTGCTTGGAGACTTCTGACCCTGACTACAAGCATCCTCCTTTAGCTGATAACTGGAGGCAGGTGGAGGCACTTTGCACATTCCTGAAGCCTCTTTACGAAGCTGCCTCTACTCTCCAGTCTACTGAAAACCCATCCGCGGTTACCTTCTTCCATGAAGTGTGGAAGACACAGTCGGATCTGTCTCGGGCGATAGGTGGAGAGGATCCTTACGTTGCGGGTATTGCTAAAACCATGAAAGAGAAGGTTGACAAGTACTGGAGAGACTGTAGCTTGGTTTTGGCGATGGCGGTGGTGATGGATCCTCGGTTCAAGATGAAGCTCGTTGAGTTCAGTTTCTCCAAGATATTCGGAGAAGACGCAGGGAAGAACATCAAGACTGTGGACGATGGGATCCACGAGCTCTTCAGCGAGTACATGGCGGTCCTGTTGCCGCTGAATCCGGCATCCGACGGAGGGAAAGCAGACGGGCTGTCGGATTTCGACACGTACATCATGGAGACGACGGGGCAGAATCTGAAATCGGAGCTTGACCAGTACCTCGATGAAACGCTGCTTCCTCGAGTTCAGGAGTTTGACGTGCTCGACTGGTGGAAACAGAACAAGCTCAAGTTCCCGACGCTGTCGAAGATGGCTAGAGATATTCTCACGGTGCCTGTCTCGGCTGCGGCTTTTGGTGACCATGTCTTTGACTTGGAGGCGAGGGAGATGGATGAGTACAAGACGACGATGCTGAGGCCTGAGACTGTCGAGGCTCTGATCTGCGCCAAGGCATGGCTTATTGAGAGCGATGCCTCTGTGAAAACTGAAGCCTAGGTTGTGGCAAAGTTTGTTCATTTTGCTACTTCCTATCTTTTGTTGTTGTATTAGTAATTTGTATGATGAAGTCTTCAGAGTTAAAAACCCATTGTGTGATTTGCAAAATCAGGAATTTGCCTCCATAAATATCTCTACTTGCACATTTTGAGTTCCTTCTTCATTTTATGTTCCTCCAGTTCCAGCCCAAAGCCCAAACGAAGCCCATGATGGAACTGTTCGCGCGTGATTTTCACACAGAGCGCGTGAGAATGATCGGAGGAGCAGAGAGAGCTACAAACTGAAATCATCTCTTCTTCGAATTCGAAGAATCGCTCGCTCGCACCGGATCAAGAGATGGATCAACCCGACCCGAAAAATGCCTCTGGTCTAATCGTCTCCGCCACTGAGCCGATGCGGTCGTTTTTCGCGTTGGCCTGCGATGATATTCGCCTCTCCGAGGAGCTCAGAGAAATTGCTTCCGATCTGCAATCGAGGAACACCGTTCCTTACAAATTGCTCCGCGCTATATGGACCGGATCCGATCCTTCGACTAGACCTGATTTGTTGGGGCTATTCTCCGGCTCCAATTTCGTCTTCACCAGTCCCAAACCCAGGGAAAAGGTATGTGAAGCTCGAATGCTTACATATCAAATCCTATTTTGATTCATCTTTCTGGGGATTTCGTATTCATATTAGGCTCACTCAGGATAGAATACGGTTAAATTCGGCGTAATTAGATCCTGTTTCTGCTCCTTGTTTTGGAGGAATCCATGGAAGATTTCTAGATATTCATTGGTCAAGCTTGAGCACTATTTTGTTTCGTTTCGATTACGCATTTTTTGTTTGGTTTATGGGAATGATTTGAGCAGAATCGAGGAAACGTAATTGCTCCGATGTTGAATGCAGTCGAGGATGCTTCTGGTTTCATGTTTTGCCATTTGTTTGTGAGTTTGATTTTGATATGATTTTTGGGTCTTGTGGTAGAGTGAAGAGCTGAAATTGAGATTGTCAAAGCTGAGAGAGATAGCAGAGAGGAAAGAGTATGCAGAGCTTGTTAAAGATATAACACCAAGGGAACAAGTCGAAGAGCCTTTCTCTTCTTACAAAGACCAGCTCGGTTTCGGTAAAAGCATCTCTCTCTCTCGGGTGCTTGATAACTTTTTCTTGGAAGTGTGCTGAAGGATTTTACTTTTGTTGCAAACTCATTTGGTATTATAGGTTTACATGTTGGTCTTACCATGTTCACTGGATATTTGGTTGGATACGCTTCCTTCAGAGCCTTGTTTAACCGCAACCCCGCTCTGGTATGTTTTGTGGTGTCTCTCTCTTTTTCTTTGTCAAAGTGAATGGTTTGTTTTAGGATTTTGTGTTCTCTTGTTTCAGAGTGCTGCTGGTGGGATTCTTGGACTGGTTTTGGCGATGCTTGTGGAGACGCTTCTGTTTATAATCAAGACGTCTAAAGATGATCAGATTCAGAGCTCTAAATCATCATCATCATCATTCACTCCCACTACTACTAAGAAGAATCAGTAGAACATGTTTTTTTTGCCTTCTATTGTGAAAAATAATTAAGTCTGTAGAGATTTAGCATGGAGAGGGATGTGATATAATCGAATCCATCTAACCCTATTTGGAAATTTTGTACACAAAAACACAGAATTTAAGTTATTCAACAATTGGGAGCTTTTTTTTTTTCCAACTTTTTTTTTTTCTCTTTTTCTCTGTTTCAATGACTTGAGATAGAGCAAAGAGTTTATGAAATTTAGTTATACTTTCTCGTTTCATAAGCAAATTTTATTTAGAGTTATGTTGTATATTTTCTTTCCCTTGCTTAAACTGAAAGGCCGATTAAGCTAGAAATTGTCTCGACTTTTTGAGGCCTCTAAAAGCATCGTTTTGTGACATGACATGTGACCAAAACACATTCATAAGAATCATATATATGGAAATTCGAATGAATATTGCGAAGGTTTTAGTTTTTGAGCTCTCAAAATATATTAGTTTGCATTTTGGCAAAAAAACAAAACATGAAAACTTATTAGACTTTGAAGCTAGATACTAGTCTAAAACTGTGGATCAACGTTCATTCTTCCTTTCAGTTGTGTGTGGGGGAGATGGGAATGATGTGGGCACATTTTTCTTTCAGGAGAGGAGGGAAGAAAGGGTTCAGCGGAAACATATGTGGCCAACAGTTTGCATCTAAGGATGAAAACATCTTGCAACATGCGGCTTCCACGTTTTCAAACTTTCCAGAGAAAATGGATTTAGAGATTTCGAGCACACATCCTTCAACACTGAAGAGAGACGACCAACATTTTACAAGATCAACAGGTACTAAGCCAGGTGGGAAAAGTCCTGGAATTGTAGGTGGCGTTTGCGTTTGAGCTACTCCCTGACCTTGAGTGACAAAAACGGCCGCACAAAGAAAAACAATGAAGTAGAGTGAGACAATAGTTTTGCTTGCCATCTTTCTGATTAATCTCTTTCTCCCAAACTTTCTTTCTTTTTATTTTTTTTTTGTTTTGGCTTTAGACTTAAGATGCTTGGTTTGTTTTTTGATGTAGGAAGAAACATAGAATTTATAGGATCATGAAACAAGATAATTTGTCGAAGAGTAACATATCAAAATGTAACTCATGTTAAGGTTTAATATCATTAATTTTCTAGCATTAAGTTGAGTTTTTGAATGATGTAACTATAGTGTGTTCTTGCCCTAAGTTTTGAAACCGAAGATGTAAAGGCTATAATTTTCTTTTGACTCGATCGATGATTTATTGTTAGTTTAACTTCTGTTTGGTTTCTTTATGATCACAAACTTAAAAAAAAACACTTATCCCACTTAAAATCGACTATAATCTCAACCTCGATTTAGGTAGCTAAACCACTGGGCCAATATCGTAAAAATTACATTTGAAAACGTAATGTGTAACAGTGTAAGGCTGTAAAGTTACAAATTCTGTTCCACCTTTCAGTTTCAAAGCGTGTGACCCAAGTCAATTGTGGAAGTCGGATTGCATACTCTGATTGGAAACCACAATAACTAAAATTATATACATTTTCCTAACACTCGATTATATAATCTGTCTCAGGTGGTGGATGTTTTTCTTCCAAGTACATTGATAATAATGTACCATCTACGGATAGCTATAGCACGAAAGACTGAATTACCGCTCGGCCACAACGCCTTGGGCTGGTTATTGATATAAGATTGTAAAACCATTTCATATTGTATTTGTGGTTATAAGTAGTACTCATTTATTTTGATATTATACACTACTACGTACTCGTTCATTTGTGACCAAGACAAATTGATAAAAGTTATAAATAAGGAACATTTTGAAAGAATATTGCTAAAACAAAATTACTTTATTGAGAAAACATATTGGGGCTAGTTCACATATTGCCCACAAAATTAACATTAAAACATATGAGACTTTAAAGCTAATTAACTAGTAGTTAAAAAACTGTAGATCAACGTGTTCATTCTTCATTTCAATTGTGTGAGGGCGAGTTGGGAACGATGCGTGCACAATTGTCCTTAAGGAGAGGAGGGAAGAAAGGATTCAAAGGAAACATTTGTGGCCAACAGTTTGCATCTAAGGATGTAAACACCTTGCAACATGCGGCTTCAACGTTTTCAAACTTTCCAGAGAAAATGGACTTAGAGATTTCGAGCACACACCCTTCAACATTGAAGAGAGACGACCAACATTTTACGAGATCAACTGGTACCAAGCCAGGTGGGAAAAGTCCTGGACTGGTCGGTGGCGTTTGCGTTTGAGCTATTCCTTGAGTGACAAAAACAGCAGCGCAAAGGGAAACAGTTAAGTAGATTGATACAATAGCTTTGCTCCCCATCTTTCTTATTAATTCCTTTCTTTGTTTTTTGTTTGTTTTGGTTATTTAGATGCTTGGATGGTTTTGGCTATAGGAAGAAACATATAATTTATAGGATTATGAAACAAGATTATTTGATAAACCGAAATGTAACAGATCAATTTTAAGTTTTTGTGCTAAAAAATGTAACTCATGGTTAGGTTTTACTGTCTTAAAATTTGTTAAGTAAAGCTGAGTTGACTGATGTAAATGTAGTGTGTAATACTGTAATTGTCTAAGTTTAGAAACAGAAAGATGTGAAAGTTATTATCAGGTTTCTTTTGACTTGGTGATTTATTTTTAGTTCAACTTCATTTTAGTTTCTTTATGATCACAAAATTGTTAAAATCGATTTTATTCAAAACTTCGGTTAAGAAATTGTAAAACCAATGGGAAATATTAAATTGATTGTGGAAAGTGATAATTGTTTCAACTTCTTGAGAAACCAGATTGAACCAGCCGGTTAATGTTCGATGACCTGTGGTTTGATCTTAGAGTATCTCATCATATTCAGTGACGACGTTGATGTTAATTGACGTAGTTTGTGAGTGGCGATGAATCCTTGCGATGGAGAAAGTCTCCATCCTTCTATGAAAAGTTTCACTCTAGCATATCATTCATTTTTGAAATAATGCAAAGATAGAATTTCCCAAAAAAAAAAAAAAAGAGACTCACAGAGAAATTCGCAAACATAAACGGAGAGAGAAGACTTGTTTTTTTGAATCAATTGAGAAATGTGAAGCGTAGGATTCACGCAATGAGAGACTTTATACTGTATAGAGCTAATTTTTGTTGTTGTAAAATGTATCTATTTCTGAGAGTTAAAGAATGCCTTGGATTGCTAATTAGATTTTAATATAGCATTTAAGGGTGTTCAGACAACTTAAGACCTGTGTTGCATGAAAACGGAAACAGAAACGTAGAAGCGAAACGTTTCGGAAACGGGAAACATGTTTTTTGAAAAAATTAAGAATTTGAAACGTTTTGGAAACGTAAGCAATATATCTATTAAATATGTACATATAGCACTTTCATAGTGTGTAGTGTAGTGGTATGAAGCAGCACTTAACAGATAATATATCCATTTCGCTATATATATGTCTTTGTGAGACATACGCCACCAACTTAATGAAACTTGTTACTTCAAGGCCACTTCTGTTATTTCCGGGTTCCCCGCCTATTCCCCCCCCCAACTAAAATGTTTCCATCGTGATCCACACAGACTTTGAGCCCCTTTTATTTCCCCCAAACTTATAATCTCTGTCGGTTCCCCCATTTGCGTTTTAAAAAACAAAATCCAGTTTTCGAACAGTGATTGCCCGTTTTAACTCAATTGACCCGGGTTTTAAAACGCAAACCCGCGGTTTGTCTAACAAATCAGACCCGATTACATCTAACCCTAACCCGCAACCCCACAAAAAATTAAAATCGATTTGGGGGAAATCGAAAGGGGATTAGGGTTCGTCGATTCTGGGGTTGAATATTGTTCCGTGGAGAGGAGAATTAGACATCTTTTATTCCGACAGAGACAGGAAGGTAAGCTAACTATAATTCCGAATTGGTTTCTTTGTCGAATTCTTGGGTGATTTCGTTTTTTGGTTCAAGTGATTGTCATCATTGTTGCTGGTTTCTTTTTCGAATAGGGAACAAAACAATGAGTAGTTCATCTTCAGCTTCATCTCGTCTGACCAACAGAAGATCAGTGTATGGTGTTCCATCAAGATGTTGGTGTGGTAGGAACCTTGTGACTTATGCGGCTCAGACCAAAGACAATCCTTTCCGTCGATTCTACAGATGTGAAGTTGCATTACAGGTACAAACCAATCGAAAACAATGTACACATATATGAAAGAGTTATGTAATTTTATGTAAATTGTGTGTGTAGAGGCAAACAGAAGAGCATCTTTTCAAGATGAGACTTGAGAATGGTGGAGAGAAAGCATTTGAGTCTTGTTGACGAGGTAAAGGAATTGAGAGGAAAAATGGTGGAGAAACTGGAGCTAGAAGAGAGGATGATCCGTAAGATGGTTGAAGAAAGAGTGAAAGAAGAGCTAGAAGAGGTGAAAGCAAAAATGAAAGAAGAAATGATGATGGCTGCTGAAACTTTGCAGAAGATGGCTCGAGAGATGGCAAAAACGAGCATGCAAAAGGTTGGGATTACATTGTTGGTTGTAGGAACCATTGCTTGCATTTGTGGTAAGCTTATGGGCTAGATTTGTGGGAAGCTTAATGTGTGTTTGTTTCATTTTGTGACATTGTTGTTGGATTGGTTTTCGTTTCATTTTGTTGGATTGGTGTGAAACCTTATTATGTAAACTCAATTTGCATCTTTGGAAATGTTTTGTCTTACCCACTTTTAATATTTCTAAGTTGTTTGAAGTAAATGTGTTCACCAATATCTTCTATCTCAATTGAAAATAGCATTAATAATCCAAAATGAACAACAAAAGAACATCCACATAATTCCAAAGAAAGACAAGAGTGAGCATTCATAATCCAAGAAAGAACAACAAAAGAGGAATCACAAGAAGGAATCACAACAAAAGAAGAACAATTCCTAATAAGAGGAAACCGAATTCCAAGTTTTAGTCTGACATTTGAGATGGTTGAGTGAGTGACATGGTTTCAGGACCTTGAAAAGCCCCATTTCCAGCTCCTTGAGATGAAGTATTGGCCTGAAAACCGAAACATACACATAAAATCAGAGACAAGCAAACTCAAAACCAATCAAAATCAGAGACAAGCAAACTCAGAACCAATCAAAACCAGAGACAAGCAAACTCTCAAAATCATAACATAAACTCTCAAAACTCAAAACCAATCATCATCATATTATCAAACTCATAACCACTCAAACTATCAAACTCATAAACTCATACACATAAACTAGCGAAAATACCTGGTCACTTGCTTCTTCTGTCATCTTTCGCTTCTTCTTTGGGTGTATCTTACATCTAGCTGCATTGTGACCAGCTTCACCACACTTTGAGCAATGCATAATTCGACCAGTCCTTTTGGTTTTCTGAACCTGCCTTTTTTTCTTTTTTGGTGACTCAAACTTACCCTTGATTCTTTTTTCACCTTTTTGGACTTCTTCTTTTTCTTTTTTTTCAGATCCCTCTCCCTCTGCATCTGTCTGAAATGATGACATATCCACTGCCATCTTCAAGCCCCAAATCAGCCTTTAGGTTCTTCATAAACCATAACCAATTGTCCCCTGTCTCAGCTTGTACCACAGCCCAAGCAATCGGATAAATTTGATTGTTAGGGTCATGTCCAACCGCTGTCAACAAACAACCTTTCACTATGCCTTTGAAGAAGGTTCCATCTAACCCGATGATAGGACGACAAGAGCTTTTCCATCTGGTCCTAAGCTTCTCAAAACACACATAAAACCGTAAGACATCTTGGTTTTTTGCATTCGGATATGTTTCAACAATGGCCGTTGTTTTCTCGTGATGCGTGAGTATCTCTTCGACATATCCACGAAATATGTGCAAATTGTTGCTCATACTCTCTGTCGAGCCATTTCAGAGCTAGCAACCTTCCATTCTGGCATTGATTCGTTGTGCTTACAAGCCTCCAAGTTTCTTTGATGTACTTCTGCATTTTGATAGGCCAAAAGTTAGGCTTTTGCCTCAACTTGTGCAAGAAAAGCTTTGCAATGACTGGAGCTTTAAGCATCTTGCATCTCCCTTTAGGCGTGCAGCTGTGATATCCACACTTTGTCTTTATAACCCACTTCCCATGCGGCTCATCATACGAGCAATAAAGCTTCCACTTGCATTTTCCTCCTTCACCACATTTGTATCCAATCTTCGTCTTGTCCCATCTATTTTGCTCAATATTCTTTGCATTCGCCAAAGCATAATCCAAAACGGCTTCCTTGAACTCATAACCTGACCAAAAAGTAGCTCCTAGAGCTAACTTATCAACCTGAGCATCTCTTCATTCGTCTCTTTCTCAAAGCCAAATCATCTTCTTCTTCACTATCTGAACTCTCTAGAATTGTCCTTCTGAAATCTACTTCCTCATCAACAAAACTAGCTACAGCATCCTCAATCTCCATATCATATCGCGCACCAATGTCTTCTTCATCTTCCAAAACCTTAGATTTACCTTTTTTATCCTTTTTCCTCTTAGCTTCCCTCAAAGCTTCCTCTTTCTCGCTATCAATCTCGCTTTCATTTCCAGCATCCTTATCGCTTTCATCTGCAGCAGCCTCGCTTTGATTCTCCTCAGCCTCCTCGCTTTGACTTTGATTCTCCTCAGCCTCCTGGCTTTGATTCTCCTCAGCCTCCTCGCTTTCACCCTCACCAATCTCGCTTTCATTCTCCTCAGCAGAAGGAGCCTTCTCGCTCTCAGCAGAAAGAGCCTTCTCGCTCTCAGTTTCAACAGCAGCAGACTGTTCCAAATTGACATCAGCCTCCTCACCATCTTTTCCCTTTTCCTCTTGCTCGATGAACACATCAACTTCACGACAAGTTGACATAGCCTGACTACACATTCTCATAAGCTCTGAGTCACTTGCCACGACACCAATACACTTCAGTGTATCCATGCTCTCGTGATGGAGCTTCCACCAAACTCGCTCCACTAAACCACCTTCTATCGAAAACTCCTCACAGTAGCCATCAAAACACGACCAGGTCATCAAATCAGGATCAACAACAATGCCCTGCTTCGAAGCTCCTCCATTGTAACTGAATCTACCACCGATTATCTCCATAAGTCCTCCATAATGCAAGTTCAATTTCAAAGTGTCGAAATGACTGCAAATAAGCAAAACCATGAGACAATCACTCCCACAATCACCCTAAACAACTACTCTAAGTGTCAGCAGAACGAATTTAAACGCTAAAACGAAGAAACAATACCTCATCGGAAATGCAGTTTCCTTTCGTGACTACCGGAGAACGACGACGAAACAGGAGAACCGACCAGATGAGAACGACGGAGCAACACGGGGGAGAACACCGAACAGAGGATTTAACCCCGAATCTATCCCCTTTTGATTTCCCCAAATCGACGAACCCTAATCCCCTTTCGATTTCCCCCAAATCGATTTTAATTTTTTGGGAAAAAGGTTGCGGGTTAGGGTTAGATGTAATCGGGTCTGATTTGTTAGACAAACCGCGGGTTTGCGTTTTAAAACCCGGGTCAATTGAGTTAAAACGGGCAATCACTGTTCCGAAAACTGGATTTTGTTTTTTAAAACGCAAATGGGGGAAACCGACAGAGATTATAAGTTTGGGGGGAAATAAAAGGGCTCAATAGTCTGTGTGGATCACGATGGAAACATTTTAGTTGGGGAACAGGCGGGCAACCCATTATTTCCTGCACACACACACGGTCACACAAACACACATACAAATACACAATAAACAGAAAATAAGCTCAAATTATAAACACATCTCTGTCCATTCAAATGTCGTAAATTGCTGAAAGTGAAAAGTCGATTGACACATAAATGACATGCATAACAAAAGTAGCTAACTATTTTCGTTATTTGAAATATTGTTATTACTGTTTTGATTTTTTTTTTTGATTTTTTTTTTTGATTTTTTTTTTTTTTTTATTGAAGTAAAGTAAGCTAACTGTTTAATGTTTATACTTTCATTTTCATATGAAATAGCATTTAAATGCAATAATGTGTAAGTTATTTACTTCTCACTATTGTAAGTTATTTTTCATTTCTCTGTTTAATCAAGAATGGTCTACTGATTTCATTCAAAGATTAGATCACGAGTCTGCTTGGAAAGGTGGATATTTCCAAAGAGAAAGTACTGAAAATATGCCTCCAGATTCAAACACTGGGGCATAAGCTCGAACTCCATGCCAAAAAAAAAAAAGCACATTAGTATTCCCGTGAACTGATGGAAAATATTAAATGTTGTGGAAGAGATCACAATTCTTCATGTGTCAATCAATCAATAAAAAAAATGTTTTGTTCTTGATTTTTCTGGAAGAGATCACTTGGGGATTTATTGGTTCATGGATTTTAATGGATTTAGAATTTATACTAAAACTATTGTATACAAATTCTCAATGAACATCTCTGAAGATGTTCGCCCCTGGAGATGTTCATGATTCATTTTCTGGCCAACGACGTCAGCTGGCATCATTGAAAGCAACATGCAACACTACAAACCCAAATACGGGATAGTGCCTTAAGTGGGGATTCTTCTCTTATTCTATTAGTATTTCACATGGAGAGATTACTTGCAACTTGAATATTCACAAACCAGGTTTTTTTGGGTTGTATTCTCCTACTAAGGCTGACTTTGAGCCCATGCATGCATTTCATGATAGAGATTCAAATAGACGATAGATTTTAACTTCATTATCCAAGAAACCAAACTTTATTTAGAGTCCAAAGATCTAAACCGAACCAAGCACAAACCAAACCAAATTCAGTTTACAAGTTCAACATGAATTCTTTTTGAAAAAAATCGAAACGCCCGCACCCTTAGTTTTCACGCACAACGTCGATCTGAAAAGAAGATACACATAAATAAAACCTTTTCTACGTTTTCATTTTGCGATTTCAAATTATCTATATATTATAAAGGAAGAGCTATAGATCATTCCCGAGTTTCAAACGCAGCTTTCCGGTATTTTGCAAGTGCCCATAATGGAAAGGTGTTTCTGTATGTAGCATAGTGTAACATGCACGTCTTTAAGGACGCTCCTATCATTTCCTACACACACACATCCATAAAATAAATAAACAGAAAATAAGAGCTCACATTATAAACACATCTCATCTATGTCCTGTCCATTCAATGGTCGTACATTAACCTTGTTAGAGTGGGGAAAAGTGATAGAGTAGATAAAAAAGCAATGGCGAAAATAATTTTTTTTTTTATAAATTAACAGTAACATAGATACCTTGAACTCATTCTTTTATAGAATATAAACTGATAAACATTAACAAATAGATAATTATAGCTCTTTTAACAAAGATCAATAATGCATGCAAGAAAGGAAACAACGATATATCTATCAAAGAGGATGTCTCAAACTTACCTGTTGAGGAAAATCCCCGTTTTTAAGTTGCGAATTGATGATAAATTTCGCAGCACGATGAAGAGGTCCAAGATCTTGTTCGGCCTGATATATTTTTTAAAACAGACGAAACAATATGCCTCACGACATCTTCGTTGCACTAGACAAAATAAAAATACAAATCTAATATTATTGAGCATTTTTTAACCTGACCGGCATGAATCAAACCCATCATAGCCCACGCGGTTTGAACTAGGTTTGATCTGGTCCCTTCTAAGGGTTTGTATCTCTGCATACAATCCATATTAAAAAAAATATTAATACTTCTTCAAAACAATGTAAGTGCATTTATTTATTTATTTATTTATTTATTTTTTTATGTAAGTGCATTTAATTTCGTGTTGGTTAATCAAGATACCTGTTCAGAGCATGAGAGATAGCTTTCACCCCAACCTCCATCTTCATTTTGTATTGAAAGTAGGAAATATACACCTTTGCGCATAGGTATACAGTTTTTGTATGTTTTACCAATCGCTGCTAAGCCACTAAGCCCATACAATGTGCCATAAATGAAACAAACACCCCAGTTTCCGTACCTACCATTACTCAAAAGTAAATTACTTTGTTAGAGCTTTTACGAACATCACATTCATTATTTATACATTTTCTAGCTATTAGTAAATAGCATACCATGAACCATCTGGCAATTGTTTGCTTTCTATGAATTGCACTGCTTTCTCGATCGACTTGGTGATCACTTCCGTCCTGTGATCCGGGTGTAGTTTTTTTAACATAACCAAAGCTTGTACAACAGATGAGGTACATTCCAAATATTCCAGCTCGGAGATAACATTAGCAAAAAATTCTGTGGGGTTCATTAACTGCATGCAACCCCATTTACAAAAAAGTCAGACTTGGGATTCTCTCAAAGACTTTCCAACTTTGCAAAAAAGGAAAGTGAACACTCTGAGTTTTAGCGCTTACTTCCAACCATTCAGGTGCCCGGACCGGTTCCCATGCAGGAAACCCTCCATTTTTACTCTACATCAAATAATTTTTTAGCCATGATTATTATTTAGTGGCAGCAATTTTAACAACATTAGGCTAATCTATATAAACTCACTTGTAGAGATAGCAAGAGATTAACAGAATCATATATATGTTCGACATCTATTTTGTGGCCAACAACATCATCCGGCATCGTGGAGAGCAACATGCAACACTACAAAACCAAAGAAGTACAAGTTTAATTGAGACATAGTTCTTTTGGAAATTCACTCCAGCTAACTTCTTCACAACTAATTTGATTACCTTAAGAGCTTCAGCTGTACAATCTGAAACTTGCCATCCATGATCTCGATCAGAAAGAGTCCACGCTCCTTTTGAGATGTGGCGATACATGCTCTTGAAGTTACCTGAAGGGTTTCCTCTAACCTACAAACTTGTTTGAATTAGAACCATTCCGTTTTTTCCATAAGAAATACAAGATACAAGAAGACTATATTCAATTTTAGAGAAATTCAAGATACAAGACTATACTAGCAAGTAACAAGGATATCAAAACCTGAGATTTTTTTATGTAATCGTGTCCTCTCCTGAGCACGTCATAGGTTTCATCAGACGGATCACTGGCTAGTAAAGCCTGAATTGCAAACCCTGTCTCCCAAAGTTGACTTCCAAGGTTCTGCGTAAATTTGATTGCTTACGAATTTTGTTTTTTGCGAGTTTTACTCATGAGATTTATATCAAAGTATTTAAAAGCAAAAAAAAAAATCTTATAACGTTAATTTGATTAGAACCTGCATTTTCATTCCATCTTCAGCTATCCACATGTAGTCCATAATTCTTGAGAGATGTTTTTTAAAGTGATCTCCATCCGGGTTCTCAATCCAGCAAGCAAGCATGCATAAAGCCTACATAAAATCTTCAACATATAAAACTCCATGCATACTTTTAATAATTGTTTTCCAAAAAATTAATAAATAAAAATTGCTTGCTTGATATTTGACCTTTTCAATACATCCAATAGTGATGTAATGGCTATTCTCGTCCTCGTAATGTATGTGTTTCATTGCCACCTGAAGAGCCTTTTCCCTTACAAGCTTGTTAAATGGCCATCTTGTAAGGAAAGGCTCCACGAAGATGTCGAGAGTGTCCCATATCAAATCTTGAAACAGAGGATGTGGATAATATGTATCGTCCTGCAAGGGCGGTAATCAGAAGACGTAATATTTACATACTTTTTCTATGATAAAATAATTTTGAAGATTAATCATTAAAGTATCATCAACCAGCCATACCTTTGCATATAAATGCCGTGCTTTGTTCCAGTTAATTTCCTCATAAGGTTGTAAATGGAGTTCGTCACGTAGTTCCATAATAAGAGGCGTAATTGGAGCAACAAATCTTTTCCCATATAGATAAGACATGGGCATATAAACGATGCGTGTATAGCAGAAGATTTTTCCTGCATAACATTATATATATATAGCAGTTTCATGTTGATTCATATAGTAAAATCTCCAAACTGGGAGCATAACAAACCTAGATGTATTGGAACGAATGAAGGTAGCAACCAAATTTCGGGAGGCATTGGATTGGTTCCAGACCAATCAAAGATTCCGAGTATCTGCATATATTAACTTGATATAATTTGCTAAAAAATATTTAACATCATCTCTCTCAAGTAAATGAACTTAATTATATGATCCAAAATATTTACCGCGAGCCAAACTTTTCCCCAAGAAGGAATATAAGTGACACCGCCACGGCTAAGTATCCATTGCCTGGCTTGTTTGCACGCATTTTCTCGACCTCCATCGGGACCTAATCGAAGCATACGCAAACATATGTAATTCAGCACGGTGCTGAACA